AAAGCTGGGCCATACAAACTCTAATGATCAGCAGGAGTTTTCCTCGTTGCTTTGCAGGGCTAAGCCCTTCCCTTTAAAGATGCAAACACTTTTTTGCATTTGGCCTTCTGCAAGGATTTCAAAGCATTAAAATGTTGATTCCTTGGGTTTCACTAGTCCTTGGTGTTATCCTTATTTGACTGATGGAGAAACTGTGTCACACACATTAGGTCACTTGTTGAGTGTCTCGCAGCAAATCGTGGCAGAACTTGGGCCAGAACCTAGGAGTTCTGGCTCGCAGGTCTGTGCTCTAAGCACTAGGTGATGTTTCCTCCATTAGGTAATACTAGCTCTAGCTCGGAGAAAGAGTTCTCCATTTTCTTGCCCCACTAAATTCAAATTTAAACAAAAATTTTTGACCAGCTCCAATAATAACCTGTCTCCCTGCCTGGAGAGCAACTGTTTGGTTTCCAAAGAGACCCAGGCTTAACCCCAGGCTCCTGACTGATGGTGGGGCTGCCCTCTGTCGGCCCTTCTAAATCCTCTCGTGGGAATTAACTTTCAGTTGACAACTGACATCGTCACGACTTTCTTTCAGGCTTTGCGTGCTGGCCAACAGGAGGTACCAGAAATCAATAGAGCGAGCTCGTCTATGCGGAGTTCCCAGTCAAATTGGGCAGGTTCTGGTAGGTGTGGGTCAAGCCACTGCATTGGTGGAAGGATGGAACAGGCCACTTGGCTAGCCCTCTTCTGTCTCTAGTGGGTGGTGGCGTGGTCTTATGGTCTACATATAGGAATCAGGATCTCCTGAGTTCCATCCCACCTTGCCACTGACTACCTGGGGAGGGATAGCTCAGTGGTTTGAGCATTGGTCTGCTAAACCCAGGGTCATGAGTTCAATCCTTGAGGGGGCCATTTAGGGATCTAGGGCAAAAATTGAGGATTGGTCCTGCTTTGAACAGGGGGTTGGACTAGATGACCTCCTGAGGTCCCTTCCAACGCTATGATTCTATGATACCTCTGACCTATGGCAAATCTCTGAGGCACTGTGCCTTGGTTTCCACATCTGTAAAATGAGGCTAATGATATCTATCCTACCACCCAAGGGTGCTGCTGAGAGGCTAAGTTAGCTAAGAAAAGCACTGTATGTCCTTGTTTCTGCACCTCCACTGGGTCTGGGACAATCAAAGCAGTCTAAGGGAGCTGGGAACTCCAATCCTATCGAATGCTGATAAGAAATGGGTGTGTGGCCCTTCGTCCCTTTGAACAGGCCAGGCCAGGTGCACTATGCCTAAAATAGAGCCCATGGCTAACATCAGGCAAAGCTGACAGCGGCCTTCGGTGTGTGCACCAGAGCCCCAGGTGTTGTGCCACCTCGTCAGCACAATTAGCTCGTCAGGCCAAGGGCGCGGGGCTGCTGGGTAACTGACAGTCCCGGCTAAAATGTGTCACTTCCGTTTTTCTTGGGAAGTGATCGGTCTTGGTGTCAGCTCATCTCGGCCTCTTTGTTACGTGGCTGCACGTAATTAGGACAGGTGTTCCCCTCTGTGGAAAGCCTGGAGAGAATTTTTTGCATCTTCCCGCTTCAAAGCAAATGGCACTAGACTGGTCTGGGTAGCTCAGTCTGATTTGGGAGCGGGACGAGGTGTGAGGAGTGTTCGGGTCTCGTGTCTACGCCCAATTTCTTTTCTTCTTTTGTGTTCCTTGGTTTGATTCGTGCAAACGTTCTCCCCTGCAGAGGGATTCCTTGAGGGACAGGCCTTGCTCAGAGAGTCACCTCCGTCTCCATAATGCCACCATACCTTCTAGACGCCTTCCCGGCGCTAAACAGATTCCTGTCGGCATGTTATTTGGATCACTCACGCGATGTGTCGCTTCCATATTTTCCCCCCGTCGCTCTAGCTTTGGGTGATGTACGAGTCTGATGAGTAATATAGCTGGCTTCGAAGAACCATTTTGTATTCAAACTGCTCCTTTTTATGTCCATCTGTCTCTTGCCTGCCTTTTTCTATGATCTATTCCCCTTCGGGACTCCGTGCTGCCTGCCATGATCACCGGTTTTCCTCCCCCGCACCCCTTGCACTGATGGCTAGTATTTACCCAAGAATTATATTAGGATTAGCCTTTGATAAATTAACCAATTACGGTCAAGCTCGTTTATGCTGTGTTTAGCTTTTATGCCCCGTTACAAATGGAGAGAGACTGAGACCTTTGGCCTCTCAGTGAGAGGTGATAATCTTAGTTGGTATTAGTGCATCTACTTAATTAAAAGATTTCTTAATCGTGTTGTGTGGAGGGACTCGGGCAAGGGGATTTAGATGGTTTAGGGGATTGGTAATAGGATATGGGCCCCTTCGCCTCTAGGTGACTAGTTCAAGTGGAGCTCGTGGCCAGAAATGGTCGGCATCTCGTCTGATCAGCAGCCCATGTGAAAGAAATGTCCTCGGTGTCATTTCTGGTTAATCCGAATTCCCTGTCGCTGGACAAAATGGTACCGATGAAACGAGGCTGACGGATGCTCTCTCACGGTCAAGGCACTGGATGGGACTTGGAAGATCCCAGATTAATTCCTGTTTCTGCCACGCACGCCGTGGGTGACCCTTAGACAAGTCACCTCATTGCTCTGTGCCTCAGTTTCCCATCTGTTCAAGATGCCATTCAAACTGCCTTTCTCCCACCCTGGGTATTGTCTGTTTGGCCTGTAAGCTCTTTTGGGGCAATAGCTATCTCTTGCTGTGTGTATACAGGGCCGAGCACAACAGGACTCTGATGTCCTCCTTTCGGGCCTCGAAGTACGACCACACTATAAATAAAATCTTGCAACAGGAGGAGTTTGCACAAGTGAACAAAAAATGGAACAGGTTTTCAAGCCTTTTTGCCTCCTGTGTTCTCCAACTGACGTGTGGCGGCCTGGATAGCGTGGGACGAGGGGCTGTTTCCCTATCGTAATAATAATCAATAAATCTAATCTATATTTTAAAACAAAAATATTGCTCCTATTTTTGCCCCTTCTGTTGGAAATAAAGTTGGAGCAAAACTTGACCCCTTAATCTGAAATCCCCAAACTTCAGGAGTTCGTTTTGAAATGGAAGCTGGGTCCAAACCGCTTCTGGTTTGATTCTAAGCGTCCTTTATCCAGCTATGGCCCCTTCCACCCAAGGGCCATAAATTAATTTACAAACATTAATGAATTAATTTAACCTCGCACCAGCCTGAGGGGAAAACCTGAGCTACGGAGAAATGAAGTGACTCATTTACGGCTGCACAGAATCCCCAGCAGAGCCGGGAATTGAACCCAGATTATCTGATTCCTAGTTGTGTGCTTTAACTGTGGCTTTCTCCAACACTAGCAAGGTTCTGTAAAGATGGAAGTAGCCCTCGCTTCACCTGGCTCTACCCAAAAAAAAAAAAAAAGTGTGTGTGGTGATGGGGAATAGACTGAAAGACATTGGCCTCCAAAACCTTGGAGAATAGGGAAATGTAGATACAAGGCAGCTGGATAAATCAGGTTTGGTTAGTAGAAGTCTCCAACTTCAAACATCCTCCAGTGTCCCTCAACATAAGACCTTGAGTTAGGAACGAGGGAAAAGAGGGGAACCCATTTGTTTAGCTCCAGTGTATCCATAACCTGATTGGCTTACTCTCAAAGGGCCTGATTCTGCATGGGAGTTTCATCCGCTGAGTTTGGTGGAACAGGACTGGACCCATGTGTCTTTTGTGTAACCCTAATATCCCTGCTATCCATATACACGAGGCTTCCTCCTGTTGATAGGAAGTTGAAAATAAGAAGTGGCCATGTGGTGGGGATCTGCAGAATTTATACACCCTTGTAATGAGAATGGAATGTATAAGCCTCCGACACACCGGGCTGTGTCTAGCTGCCTGTTTGTGGTGAGAAGATTGATTGCTGTAGCTTTTCTTCAATTACCCGTTTTCACATGAGCGTTCTACATTGAGTCCTTTGCATCCTTCCCCACTCCCCTGACTGGCTGCCTGCCAGCAGCCTGTAGCTTCCATGAATGCAGAGGTCGGTATTCAAGGGGGTTTGAACAGAGTCGTTTATAGCAACATGGTTTTACAGAAGGTTTCAGGCCATTATGGACTATTGAGAGCACACAGCCTGTGAAGCAAAAAAACAAAATAAAATAAAATAAAAATGTCCTCTGGATTTTTAAACTGACTGCCATTTGTTTCTGCCTGTCTGAGGATTTTATGGCACTGTTGAGGAATGACCTTGACGTTTTATAATGGAAATGGGCCTAAATCACAAAACTCAGACCCAGCTGGGGATTTCAGGTCTACCTCCTAAAGTTCCCAGGTGTTCAGGCAGGGGATTTTTGTAAAAAATAAGGACTAGCCATGGAATTGGATCTGGACCCAGATTCCCCCATGTTCGGGGGTGTCTGTGTAACAAACCATGGCTGTGTGCATACAGCCGGGATCCAGTCCTCAATCTTCAGCACTTCTTGCCCAAGTGCCTGACGGAACAACGCCTTGCATTCGGGCCATGTGATTTTGCAGGCTTTGATTTTCCTTGTAAGCACGGGGGGTTGATTGAACCCATCGGGTAAAGCGGTCACTGAAGGCAGGGCGTTCTGCAAAGTCCCCCAGCGCATTCATGTGCATGCGTTTCCCAAGGGCTCCTGAAGGCCTGGGAGGATTCCAGGGGTTTTGTTCAGTCCTGGTGACCTGCTGAGGGTCACAAGTTTCCTTCTGCAATGTCCTTTGAATTTCCTAAGTCTCTCAAAACGTGCTCCCTGCCCAGCAATGTCGGTCTTGCTTTGAGTCAGCTGCAGGGTTGTGGGTCTCATAAGGACTTTGCACAAATCCCTACAAGTTCCAATTTCACATTCGGACCCAAAGTGATCTGGCTTTTGTGAAAGGTTGGCAAAGAGCCATCAAAATCCAATGCCAAGCAGTTCTCTCTGCCTCTAATCTACCAAGGGGGCAGCTGAGCACCTTACATCAGGGCATGGAAACCTGTATGGGTGTATCTAATTCTCCCTTTTATTCTGTTGCAGCTGGTCCTGGCTGAAAGCTCCCACTCCGACACGGGCTCCCAGTGCGCTGAAAGCCACACGGACCTCCCTCCTCCCATCGAGAGAACGGGTGGCATCGGAGACTCACGGCCTCCTTCATTTCAGTAAGGCCAAGCTATTCTTTCTAATCAAGGGATGCAAAATACTTCCCTGGCTCTTCCCCCACCTCTCTGCCTTGCCCTCCCCCAGCTCTCAGCACCCTGTGTTAGGTGCTTCCCACCTGTTTTGTTTTATTGTTTTGATATTGTTGTGCTCATTGGGGAATAAAAAGGGGGATGGGAGGGAAAAATGTGATCATCTGAGAAATTACCTTATTGCTCGTCCTTTCGAAACCCACCTTGCGGGGGAGAAGGGGAGGAATGTAAATGCTTTGGGTGGCATGTGGATGACAACCTTTTATTACCGTGTGCCATATAATTATGTAGCATACACAGGCAGCAGAACGTTATGATAAAGAGCAGCAATTTGCTTAAGGAATAATGCTCCCCACGCTATCACCCTGACTGTATGGAATGCAACGTACATTGGTGGAATAGCAGCCTAGTTACCTGCAGCTCTACGTACAGGGCCAGATCCTCCCAGTGTAAATCTAGAATGACTCCCATTGACTTGAGTGGGGACTGAGAGCAAGATCCAGACCATAGTGCATAAGTACCCAGTGATCCTTCTGATCTGTTCCAGGGAACAGCAAGTATTTTCCCTCAAAGGCTAGCTGTGCTTGAGAGCTGAGATTCTGCCCTGTAGTTTTAGGCTGGGGCCTGAACTGAAACCCCAGATCAGTGCAGCCCTGAATTTGGGATTTGCATTTCGCTATTGGTTCCTTTTCCTGTAACCCAGTGAATCCAACTCCCAAACCCAGACTCAAAACTGCCACCCTGTGCACCAGTCCTTTGGGGTGGTTGGAATCTGGATATGAATCTTGGATCTCAGGCCCCTCACCGTTTGTCAACCGCATGAATTATTCTAACTTCTGATGTGCGTATAAGTGCTCGACAGGTTAAACCGATGGGAAATCTGATGCACGGAGAAGTTAAGTGGCGTTTTCCCCAAGGTCAAGTTAGTATCAATATCAGGACTAGAAAGCAAAGTGCCAGAGTCCCAGACCCATGCTCTAACCACTGAGCCACACTGCCTCCTAGAAGTGCAAATAGAACCCAGGAATTCTGACCCCTCTCCCCACTTGCTCTGACCACCAGACCACTCTGCCTCCCTTCAGAAAAACAGAAGCCATCAGTCTCTAGGGCTGTCAGTCCCAGGTTCACCTACCTCAAAATTCAGTGCTGTTTCTCTTGCTATATTAACCAATCCAGCCTGATCAAGTGAACCACCCGCTGCATGAAACCCTTGTGTTTGCCCATTTTATTCGCTTGGAAGCCAAGTGAGCTCTCAGTGCCTCTGGCCTCTCCTTGTCCCTGGCAACCCAGATGCCCTGTGCTCGATGCATTGATGCTGATGCCAGGACATCTTGCCACTTCGCTTCTTTGACAGGCTTTGTGCTGCCAGGCCCGAACGGCAGGCAGCCCCTGGCGCAGAGGGGTTAACAGCTGTTCCATTTGTTCTGCTGCTGACCCTGCCCTTCGCATTTGGCTCCGCACTGGTGACATTAACAGGATCCCAGTAAGGATGCAGAGGGGGAGCCGAACCCCAATGCTCGTGAGCCAGTGGCTCAATGTGCAGAGGCAAACCCAGTGTCCTTTCCTGCTGTTCTCACGTTCCCTCCTCCTTCCCCCACCCCTGCTTTCTGGGATGTCTGTTGCCTGGACGAGCCCGTTATCTGGGCGGGGGCTAAGCACCAAGCTGCCTTCTGGAGGAGAAGAAATCCCGGGGAATACTCGCCTGGCCTGCGTTTCTTGCCAGGGTTATGCTGCCCTCTTGTGGCCAAGCTTCGCTTTCCTGGTGGGCGAGTAGCCTGTACAATTGCAGTCACATGACCTGCTAGCATAACTAGTTCTTTTCTTCCTGACCCATATATAGAAGTATGTGCTGGTTTTAGAATGCTTTAACTGTGCCTTTAAAAACACCCCCTCAAACTCGTGGCACAGGGTCACGTGTGCAGCACTCCCTGTTTTTACCTCCAGTGTTTTAAAGATGCCGTTTTATTCAGCTGTGCTCTTCCGTTGCGCCTGCTGCCGTCTGTCGAACTCCCAGAACTTTGTCGATGGGGCGTCATGCTTCCCAGCGCCCCTCTGTAGCGTGGGGCACGGGTCACTTGCTGGAGGATTCTCTGCTCCTTGAAGTCTTTAAACCACGATTTGAGGACTTCAATAGCTCAGACATAAGTGAGAGGTTTTTCGCAGGAGTGGGTGGGTGAGATTCTGTGGCCTGCGTCGTGCAGGAGGTCGGACTAGATGATCATAACGGTCCCTTCTGACCTTAGTATCTATGCATCCCCATTTCGCAGCTGGGCAAACTGAGACACGGCGAGGTGACGTGGCTTGCCCAAGGTCTCACACAGTGAGTCAGGCAGAGAAGCCGGGAGGTCCTGGCTCCCAGGCTTGTGTTCTGACGACGAGACAACACTTGCTGTCGCCGCACATGGAGGCGTTTAGCCATCTGGCTGAACAAACAGCAGCGTGGAGAAATCGGGGCTGGAGAAGAAATGCAAGCGCTTGGCTTTCTTGGGCCAGTGGGCTAATGAGGGTCTGGTGGGGTGGGCGGCCGTGGGTATACGTGAGGAGAGGGGACTGCCAAGTGTGTGGCCCATCGTTTGTGTACGCCTGCTCCTGCTGCCGGGAGTGCTGGCCCTGGTGCGGGTTGGCCTCGGCAGACAGGGAGAATGCAGGAACATTGGCCAGCTGCTGAGGACAGGGTCCTGGGACGCAACGTAGTGGGTTGGCTCGAAGTTGGTAGACGAGTTGTTTTAAAGCCCGAGTTCTTCCCCTGGAGTCTGATGAGAGGTTTGCGGTTCAGTTCAGTCGCAGCCTGTAATTGACAGATCTCTGCACTTGTACTCCGCCTGCTGGCCTGGGATTGCCCTTTCATCCCAGGCCAGCAGGCCTCTGTGAGGGGAGGGCTTTTTAGGGTAGGAATTGCTTCCCCCTCCCCTTGATACCTGTGTCAGTTCCTTTTTCTATTTCGTAGTCGTAGATTTTAAGTATATTTTAGTATAACCGCCGCTGGCCCGATGTCTACTGATTCTCTTCTCCCTCCTTTTTCTGGTGGTGGTTGTATTTATTAATTGCATCACCCAGGGGCCCCGACTGTAGATGAGGGCCCCAGTGTGCGAGGTGCTGTACAGTCACAGAACAAAGACAGTCGGTGCCCCAAAGACCTTACGATCCAAGTATGAGACGAGAGGAGATGGATTCAAGTCGACAGACGGGTTGGCAGGCAGCACAACAATGAGATAATACTGGTCAGAATGATAAACAACACACCAGCTGCCGCCTCGTTGCTGTAGGGGTTTTTTTTGTCCTGTTCCCAACCTTTGGATTTATTTTTGGCTGGATTCAAAAAGGTTATTTTTTCTGATGCTTTTCATCATATTTGAATGTAGTTGCTTGGCATCATGAGCAGCTCAGTGAGGGCAGAAATAACACGTTGCTTTTGTGTGGTCGTAATTCAACTGCCTGGTGGACAGTTCAGTGGTTAGAACTCTAATCTACAACTCAGGAGAGCTGGGTTCAATTGCCTGCTCTGCCACCGACTTCCTGTGTGAACTTGGGCAAGTCACTTAGTCTTTCTGTGCCTCAGGACTTGTCTACACTACTGCTTAAATCGACATAACTTACGTCGCTCAGTGGTGTGAAAAAGCCACCTCCCTGAGTGGCGCAAGTTAGATCGACTTAGCACAGTGTGGACAGCGCTCTGTCTGTGGGAGACGCTCTTCTGCCTCTCATGGAGGTGGAGTAATTCTGCTGAGCGCTCTCCCTTTGGCATAGCCTGTCTTCACCAAACGCACAAAGGTAACCCTGCCCGGCTTCATGGGGTGGGCTGTGAGGAGTAACACACTAAAGATTGTGAGGCACTCGGATACTGTGGGAGAGGAGGCTATACAAATCTGATTAGAAAATGATCACCTCGGAGCTTTGTCCAGAACCTGGCACTACAAGCTGGGATCGCTTACTCAGAGGGTGTAGATTGGCATTGCTCCAGTCACATCAATAGAGCAATGCTGATTTACCCCGGTGGAGGGCCTGGCCCAGTATCCCTGCCCTCACACATTCACAGTGTGCTCCTTTCATGTTGGCAAGCAAACCCGACCTCCCAGCAGCGAGAGAGGAAACCAGCAGCGTTGCACTTCCAAGGTAGAGATTTCTCGGGCAGCCTTTGAGTGTCCGGTCACCGGTGATGCATGGTAACTGCCTGTACTCACTAGATGGTGCTGCTGAGGTTGACTGACGAAGGCCTGGAAAACCTGCTGATGCCCATCTTTGTTTAGGGACAAAGGAAGGGAATATCTTCCATGAGGAATCTTTCTTTTCTCTCCTCTCTCCCCCCCACCGCCCCGTGATAACCGGACCCAAAAGAGAAAAGCATCCCAGGGGGGATTGTGGCTCAGGACTGAGGCATGGTGGCACAGCTGGGGGGGGGGGGGGGTGCAGGACCGTAACAGCAGGAGGAACTGTTGGTCAGGACTAAAACACCTTGGCAAAGTGGCATTGGGGGCCCACTTACTCAGGTTTGGAAGCTGCTAGCGTGGTCCCTTCTGAATTTCTACCCTGAGGAAAGTCCATAGAGATCTTGTGGGTTTCCGGCTTGCTTTCAGTCGTCCCCATGTGGGTTTGAGTGAGGAGGATTTGATGCAGCCTTTGATTGTTGTCCTGGGTTTCTCAACATGGAAAGAGAACCGCTGAGGCACTAGCCTTTTCCCCTCAAAGAATTTTAATTTTTACAGCTCCTGCGGAAGAGAACTAGCATCAGCGCCGAGCAGCGTGCTTGAGTCTCTTGAATTCCCTTGTCCTGCGCTTTCTGTTTGAAGTGTCCGGCTCATTCTCGCAATAGAGACATGCACACATGTGAAACTGGCAGGGCATCTCCTGTGTTTCTTCAGCCTTAATGAGAAGCTGGGGGATTCCTTCCGCAGCATATGCTGCTTGAGTGATTTCTGGCAGTCAAAGATCGGCTTTAAGTTATGCACTATTTTTACAAAGCTTGGTGTTTTGGTCGATTTGATACTGCTTTTGTCTCTCTTTTTTTCTCAGCGTATGTCCCGGTCTGCGGCGTAACCGCCGAGATCTGAGAGGCACCTCTGTAGATTATTGCTAGTATTTAGCATTAACCATCTTTCATCCCCTGGTCTGAAAGCACTGTGCACAGCTGGGTAAACATTATCTCCCATGCACAGACTGAGAAACAGAGGCACGGATTGATTAAATTCTTCTCTTGAGGTAGTGGTAGGATTGGGATAGAACTCAGATCTCCAGAGTCCCAATCCGGTACCTTATCCACTGTACCACACAGCTCTGTGTACTATGGTAGTTAGGAGCAAACTCAAACAGTGCAAAGTTTTCTGTTCCTGTAAGTTTCCAAATGTTAGGATGCTTCTCTGAGCCTCTTTGGTGCATGTAAAGGTTGAACTGGTGGCCAAATTTCATTTGGGGACCTAATTCCCTTCCCCATGGGGCATATTGGTAGGGGCTAAAAGGAGTTTTTGCCTCTTCCTTGGAGCATGGAGCAGGAGCCATCTGTTGCTGGATGGGCGTATCTTCCATGTTCAGTTCCTTGTGATTCCAGGGAGAGAACACTGGGCTCAGACCGGTGGATTTCAGTCCTCCTTTCCTCTTGATTTGGGTGGGAAACAGTCTTGTGATTTGAGCACAGGCAGGGATTCCTGACCTCTGGGTTCTGTTCCTGATTGTCACAGACAAATCCTTTAACCTCACTGTGCTTCAGTTTCTCCATCTCTAAAATGGGGATAATACTTGCCTATTCCATGTGGAGATTATGGGGCTTAACTAGTGTTTGCAAAATGTCTGAGCGCCTCAGCCGGAAGCTGCTATGGAGTGGTTGAGTAAGATTAACCTGTTTCATTTAATGGTTTCACCCCAACTCACCATGGTATGGAACATAAAACAGAAACCCCCAGGAAAAGAAGGAAAATCATTGTTAAATAGGTGCCCATATGATTGGCTTTTAACCCTCTTTTAAGTCCTCTATACACTTATTACACTGTTCAACTCCCTTGATGGTCTACAGTAGTTGTATAACAGTTTTGCCTTTTGAATCCATGTAATCAATACAGCACTTCCATAATGTCATTAACTGTATCCGTTTTATTGCATTCTCTGTATGCAATTTATCCTCTCTTGACCTGCTATTAGACTAGAGAGATCCATTCAGTCTCTGATAGGAGCAAAGTGGTGAGTCAGTGTTGGAGCATGTATTGCTGAGATGTAACTAGTGTGATTTTTTTTTTTGTGTCCCTAAAACAAATATTTCATGTTTCTGGACTGTCTTTCAGCATGTTGGTGGCAACAACGGTGTTTTCTAGTGGTTCAGACAAGGACCTGGTACTCGAGAAATCTGGGATGTATTTCTGGCTCTCTTTTGAGCCCACGTGTTAAAATATGGCCTCTGATTTTGGGTGCCTCCGTTCTTGCATGCTCAACTTTAGACATACTGCAGCAGGGCCCAATTTTCAGCTGTGATGACCCCCCTCCCCCATCTCCTATTGAGGCCAACGGGAGCAGCCAGTGTTCAGCACTGCTGGAATTCAAACCCTACTGTAGGGTGTCAAAAATTGGACCCCCAAAATTAGCAATTACTTTGTGCCTTATTTTATCTATTCGTGAAGCAAGGATGTTCCATTTGAGATCCTTGGTGAAAAGCACCCCAAAATGCTAATGCAGCAATCTGAGGGAAGCAAGGGGAGACCTACCAGTAGGACCCTCAGCCAAGACTCTGAAGGGTTCAATTCCCAGCTATGCCACAGACACCCTGTGTGACCTGGGCAAGTCTCTGGGGGTACATCTACACTTCGAGCTAGAGGGTAATTTGTCTCCTCAAACTGGAGTTTTAGCTAGTGCGGGTATGTCTTCTCAGCTGGAATGTACAGTGGTATGGTAGTCCGGTGGAATGGCAGTCCAGGTCAAAGTGTAGACCTACCTTTAGACTCTGCCTCACTTCCCCATCTATAAGAGGGGGAAGATACTGCACTTTCTTACCTCCTGGGGTGTTGCGAGAATAAATCTGTTGATGACTGTGTGGAGCTGGGATACTAGTGTGATGATGGCCATCAAAGCAACTACTTAGACACACATGAAATGTAACTCTCCGCTGCATGGTGTGCCCGCAAGCCGGGGCTGCTTGTTTGTGGGGTGGGTACCTGAGGTGACTGCGAGCAGTGACCCTTTCTCAGGGAAGCCATTCCAGCCCCTAGATGCACAGCGGCACATGGTTACGTCAGATCCTATTCTGTCGGTGTTTTCAGGAGCTACAGGTCAATTTCCCCAAATCAGTCCATTACAATGAGCTGTGGCCTCTGGGAGGCTTTTCCTACTGCCTTCCACATGAGTACTCCAGTGCCGTTTATGAAACGTAAGAATGACAGAGCCCCATAAAACATATTGAGCCTGAAGGGAGATGTATACAGTCAAGCTACTGCTGTTGGGGGGCCGGGGGGAGCTCATCCCCCTCTGCCCCGGCCAGCTTCACTTTGGCATTTCCTCAGCAGTGGTCTTGAAACAGACGGTTGCTCGTAAACGGGGTTACATGCACAGTGCTCTGTATTACAGCCCCAGTGATGGGCTAGCAAAGGCTGCAGTTTGGCTCAGTTATTTAAACCAGGGGTCATGGGCAACCTTGCTTAGCTGTATTGAGGAGCAGCCCCCTGAAGGCTGGGAGTAGGGAGCCAGTATTGCTCTCGTTTTCAATAGATTCACAATGTGGCCTTAAGTCTTAGAGGCCGAATTCTTCCCTGACTTACACACCGACATTTCCACTGACAATCTGGGCACTGGCATATTGCTGGAGTGGACAGGTGGCTTCTAGGGGCACTGTTGCAGAAGAGGGAAGCGGAGGGCTTTCAGCCGCCGAGAGATATGGGGAGGGCAGGGCTTTGGCTTGGTTAAATCCCAACTGGCCCCTTTTCCGCTCTTGCCCCTTGATGATGTTCACCCAACAAAACCTGACTCCCCCGCTCTCTCCCTCGTGCCCCGATCCAGCGGGGAAAAGGCAGGACATGGTAGGGGAGGTCAGGCTATGGACTGGTGGTGGAAGGAGGAGGGTCTAGGGTAAATTGGCTGCGAGGAATAGAACGTGAATCAGTGCAGTGGCTGGGGCCAGTACTTTGGAGGGAATCTGCACTGCTGAATTCCAGTGGGGGTCCCTGAGGTACCGTAAGGATTGGAGGAGGACACAGTGTTGTCAGGCAACCAGCCTCCTCTCTAATGTGGCAGTGTAGCCCGGAGTGACTGCAAGTCCCAGCATGCTCTAGGCTGCTTCCTCCATTCCTTTGTATCTCAGCAATGAATTCTGGGATTTGGGGTCTTCCTAGGCTGCAGGGCTGCCATAAAGGGGGCTGTGCTCAGTTGTGGTTTATGCCCTTGGCTCCCAGCAAGCTGCTAACTCCAAACGGGGCGTTGCCGTAAAGGTTGAGGACCCATGCACTGTGTGACTGAGCCCTCAGGATGGTGAGCAACATGGCTCATGAGACTCATGGCTACCCTAGGGATACCTGAGAAGGCCAGCGAGTGTCTAGCGCTCCTTTCAGAATGACCTCCTGATAGCCACTTCTCCAGAGAAACACACCGCTGGATTGTCAGCATTACTGGAGTCACTCAGACGTACTTGTGATTGTCTCTGGGATCCTTGAGCTGCGGAGAATATTGAGGGGCATTGGGAGAAAAGCAGTTGTGTGTTCAGAGGTGAGAACGAATGACCCTTTCTTCAAGAGTCCCTGCACTGTTTTCTCACCTGAGTTAGGCAGGCCCGAGGCGCGTTTGTGCTGCCTCCCTGATGGTCCTGGTGCTGTTCAAATGTGGACTGGAGTCTCCAGCTGCTGTGTGAATGTGTAACCAGTCAAAGCTGCCTTCCCGCTGGCCTCTCCAAAGCGTGCCACGGATCTGCTAAGATTCACGTGGAAACAATCCCCTCGCTCGTCCCACCATCAAGGTGGTTAGGACGTTGGGACCACAATCTAAACTAGAGGGTCTGAGACTGCTTTGTTCAATGGGAGGATGATGCTTTCTGGGCATTCCCAAGGCAGGGAGACCAATCTATCCCCTCCTCCTCTAGCTCAGCACTGGGGATGCCCTCGCGGAGCAGTCTGTGGGAAGCTTGCTCTGCTGCTCTCTGTGTTGTACCTGTCCTCTGTGTTCATTCTCTGGGGCCGTGAAGCCAGCGCCCTTCCTGGACACTAAGTGCATTGGCAGGTTTGTTTTTAGTGAGGCGGTGTGTGACCCCTGACTGTCTTCTGCCCTCTTGTCTCTCTCAGCCCGAATGCTGCCAGCAGTCGAGATGGACTGGACAACGAAACAGGAACGGAGTCGGTTGTTAGCCACAGGCGAGAGAGACACCGGCGGAGGAACAGGGAAGGCCACGAAGACGGTAAGCCCCACGGCCCTTTTATCCATCTATGGCATCATTCTTTTCTTTCTGGGGCCCTGATGGAGCTGATGGGTTCCTGTGCCTTTAAAAACGATGGCACGTTCAATAAAGCAGCCATTCTCAACCAGGGGTCCAAGGCCCCTGTGGGGCCGTGAGCCAGTTTCAGAGGGTCCAATGAGCAGGGCCGGCATTAGGTTCACTGGGGCCCAGGGCAGAAAGTCGAAGCCCTGAGCCCCGCCACCTGGGGCTGAAGCCGAAGCCTGAGCAATTTAGCTTTGTGGGACCCCCTGGGGCGTGGGGCCCCAGGCAATTGTCCTGCTTGCTACCCCCTTAACGCCGACCCTGGCTTTTACATGCAGCAAACCAGTTGTTGTGGCACAGGTAGGCTGTGGAGTTTTTATAGCATGGTGCGGGGAGGGCGGGAGGAGGGCTCAGAAAGCAAAAGATTGAGAACCCCTGTGATAAAGGACAGGGAAGCATATTAGCAAGCCCGGAGCTCCTGTCCTTTCCTGTTAGCCCAAGCACCCTCCAGTGAAGCAGAGGGGGTGGGGGGGGAAATCCTATTGCGGAATTTCCACAAATGGCTCCAGTGTTGATAGAAGATGGGTCCCAGCTTTGCATCTGCTTATTATTTACATTGCAGCGGAGACGAAGGGCATTTTAGAGCTGGTCAGAATTTTCCAGATTTCCGTTTTTGACAAAAACGTGTCTCCCCCCCTTTTTTTTTTTTAAATTAACTTTTCTCATTATTTTGCCCCCTGTGTTTCTAGCACTTTCTTTACACATATACAGAAAAATCTGCTGGCACTAACTGCACCAGGTCTGTCGCTGGCGTTTAGCTGGGGCCATGGGTGTTTATGCACCATATTCTGTTTAGGTAGCCTGTTGCAACTCTCAGCTCTTGGTTTGTCTTGGGACACTGCCTTCAGTGCTGTCTTAGATTTCCCCTGAACTCCTTACCTGCCTCCAACACCTCAGTGGCATAACTGACGCATCTCATCAGGCTTGATACTGATGCTGCTTCTGGACTCAGCCCAAGACTTGTAAACCTGTATCTGCACAGCCCTGCCCGTTGTGTGAAGGAGTCGCTCCCCAGTGCATGAAGTTCTGTGTGGCCGTGATGGGCACCGTAACTGCCAGCTGTAAAAGCCCACCTGACCACTAAGGGTCCGATCCAAAGCCCGTTGAAGTCAATGGGGATCTTTCCATGGTCTTCAGCTGGGTTTGAATAAAGCCTTAGATATGTAGTAAGGAAGCCATGTTTTTACATTGCTGTGTGCGTGCATATCATGCATGCCCACAGATTATGGTTTTGAAACATTTGCACATATAAGGTAAGTGTGTCAACTGTAGAATTCCATCCCCTAGTCTCTACTCTACACACTAAGTAAGCTTAGTTTTTAATTCCTTGCCAGAGAAGCAATGTTTGGCATATCCAGGCTTAAGGAAGGGTTAAGTGTTTGGCTCATCAAGCGTAAAATTGTCCTGCTTCTGGAATATTTTGTTCTGACATCTCTTGAGCCTGTGTAGGTTTAACTCACAGCTCCATCTACCAAAGTATCTGCAAGTGCCTCCAAACACAAGACCAAAAGGGCATAAATAGTGTGTCGGCAGCAGGTGTCTTTCTGTTTATTTAACCACCCAACTTGTCAGTGGCTCAGAGAATAAATGAAAGTCCCTCAAATGGCGGGTGGAGCAGAGAGCCATCTTCACATGGTACTGACTGTAGATTCCTTTGGGAAACCACTGGAAAGGGGGGAACGTTCTAACAATGTTGGGTCAAAAGGTTGTTACTTGAAGAATGTTAAAAGGCGACGTGTGTTTAAAGCTGGTTTATTGTCTCCCGCACTCCCAATCTCTTTACAAACGACTGCATTAAATATGCCAGTCTGAACTCGATAAGAAGGAAGTATTAAGAGACAGACCTCTTGGCTTCCTTTACCCCCACTTGCCTGCTCTGCTTCTCTTCTCGACGCTCCACTCCTCCAAAGAAACAGAAGGCGCATGTGGAGTTTGGCAACTCGCTGGAATGTCTCTTCATTGCTTGCTGCCCGCTCTCTACTGCTAACCTGGCGGGCCCCTCATTTGAGGTCTGACTGGACCTGGGTCCCACTGGCCCTGATCTGATGCAGAGTGCAGTTCTAGTGCTTTAGCCAGAGCTGTGTGAAACTCAGCAGAACCTCTCTGCCTGGGGCTCCTTTGCCTGATTTGGCCAGCTTCAGCCCCTGTGGATTGTGCCTTCCAAGTATTGCTTTGAGATTGAGGTTCACATCCAAAATCTCAAAGGGAAACTTGGCCAAAATCCCTTAGTGTCACCTTGTTCTCTACCAGAGCAGCTGATTTCTTACCATTTGGATGAAAAGCCCTGTAGCCCTTTTCTCCGTAGGCTAGGTCAAAATGTAGTTCCCTGTCTGTCTGTCCATCCCTTGCTCATCACATATTATGTAAATGCCTGGTGCTGTCTATCCCTCCAACTGTTTGGTTCCAGCACAGATACCTGCTAGGGTGGGAGAGGTTGGATGCGGTCAGGTCCTTTCTAGGAAACGTTCAATCCTGCAAGCTGCTGGCCACCTTCAGGGCTTGTTTGGCACCTGGGTGGATCAGACCCTAAGGGCTGTTGACCAAAGAGTTAAAAATACCCTGTGGGGCCCATGCCTGTCTGTTTTCAATGTATGTTGCCCTTTCCATTTATCCATGCCCCTGTCTCACTCACTAGCCCACCGTAGGGGGAGCATGTGTTTTGGGCCTCGGCTCCCATGGGCAGATGTGTATTATTACAGCTGAGACTGGCTTCAGCTGTGGGAGAGGGAGCGCGGAAAGTGTATGTTTTTTCTCTGCTCAGCTCAGAGGATGTTTCCCCTTCCCCTGAACTCTGTGATCAGAGATAGGTTGGCAGGGCTCCCAGCTGCTGTCTGGAGGGGACGTTCGCTAGACTTGTCAATGCCTGTTTAAATGTCTGGGTCAGAAAGTGGAGAAGAGCTGTGAGGAAGCGGGTGGCTTAGGTTTGTGAGGCTCTGGACAAATTGTTTGGTTTGTGGGCTTCAGTCCATATAGGGTTTGTAGCCTGGAGGTTCAGGTTTAGACAAGGCCCTCTCAAAACTCAAAGCAAATTCGGCTCAAAGGTCACTGGGAGGCTCTCTTCCAGATACAGTGGAGACACGCCCCTGATGAGTCTGTTTACCTGTGCCTGCCTTTTTTTTGTACTTTATAAGCTCCATGGGGAAGAAGGGTCCTTGTTTGTACATGAGCAAGGACTTGGTGATGTGAAGGAGTGTGCTTCAAACAAGAACAGTGCCTTATTTCCAATTGAAGGCAACCATCCGGGCTTGTCAGCTCATTACAGCTTCTTCTCTGGCATTTAAAGAAGATTAAAAGGCAGATGTAATTTGCAATGATTTGTCTCACGGGTTGTGGGGGGGAATCCAACACCCCTCCGATTAGTGAGATCGATTTTGAAGCTCCTTCACAACGCAGCTCATATGTCAGATGAGCCTCCTGGCCATCTCTGCCTACTGGAATGAAAGGATGGGGGGGCGTTTGGCTGTGGAACAGACAACAGGATGGGGGTTCACAGCCAAATTCAAGGACAGGAACTGTGTGTGTCACTCATCACTGCGAAATAATGGCCAAGCCCCTCCTCAGCTGCTATGGGAATAAGGCAATGCAAGAAGTCTTTGATCTGGCCATGTAGAGACTTGTTACAAGGAGATCAAAATTACAGCTCCAGCAATTCACTAGGGGGTGGGGGAAGTGTCCTCTTTAGCGCTCTGTGGGTCTTTTTGCTTTGTTCCGGGGGTGTTAATTACACTGCAGTGCAAAGCCACGCTTGTTTAAGCACCTACAGTGCCATCGGCTCACCAAACTACACTGAAAAAATGCCCCGCTATGGAATCATAGGACTGGAAGGGACCTCGAGAGGTCATCTAGTCCGGTCCCCTGCACCCATGGCAGGACCAAGTATTATCCAGACCGTCCCTGACAGGTGTCTGTCTAACCTGTTCTTAAAACTCTCCATTATGTTCCAGAGTCCTTCCTTTTGTTTAAACTAGACGCTGAATCTCCTTCCCCTGCCAAAGGGAGAGGGGTGTCCCCAAGTGCTGCACGAAGGGGAGCAATGGAACAGCTTGTTACATTTTTATTTTATTTTTTAAATTTTATTTCAAGCCAATGCATAGCAGGAGAAGGTGCTAATGAGACACAGGGGAGTTTCTCAGACACCGGCACATCAGGGTAAGGCCCACCTGGGATGGCAAACTCCTTTTGCTGAACGCTTCACCATTGTGGGGTTGGGAGGTCAAGTGTTGGAAGGTTTTTGTGCTGCTTTGGAGAGACTACAAAGCAAGAAGGCAAGCAATAGAAAATCCACTGGGAACAGTGGGTGAAACGGGAGCAGAGGGTAAGAAATTAGGTGAAAACACCCAGAGGGAATGTGACTAATGGAGAAAAGTGGGGAGAGGGAAATTCTAACTGTATTCCATGGAGAGGACACCCACTCTTGTCAACCTGGCATTTGGGGCCTTCTTCTGCCTTTAGCACATAGCACAGTGCTCCTGTTACCTAAGCCCCTGGTTCCCAACCTTTCCCCTGCCAAGACCACTCCCACCCCTCCCCTGCCATCTAGCCAGGACCAGGCTGGAACATCTTCCCATTTCACATTATGGAAAGGGCAAGGTGGGGGAAACCCCTGATGCCAGTTTGCTGCCCTCTCTGGCAGGTTGCAACCCCTGAATTGAGAACCCATGAGCTAGGCAGCCCCTCTTTGGTTGTCATTTTAAATTTGATGAGCTCTTGGAATTTTTAAGGACAAGAAAAAATGGTTCATGGATGAGATTATATCTTTGTGAATTCCCCAAAAGTTCTTTGCAAAGTTCATAATGCCACAAACCCATTGAGGTTCTCCCCTTCCTCTGCCTGATCTAGTCAACCACAGTGGAGAACGCGTGTCTGTTAGTAAAAAGAAGAGGAGTACGTGTGGCACCTTAGAGACTAACAAATTTATT